TTGCAGACAGGGGGAGGTTAAACCGTAAACCCTTAACCTAACATATACCTAAGAAAGTCCAGGCCCGTAAACCAAAACTCCGATCCCAGGGAGCAGAGCAAGCCTTGCCGTTTAGGGCTTTTGGGGGTGTAAGGGCTCAGGGGTTTGGGGTTTAGGGTGTAGGGTTTAGAGGTTAAAGGGTTTATTGTTTATGGGTTTAGGCTTTCGGGTTTAGGGTTAGGGAGGTAAACCAGAATCTGAAAGCCTGGTAGAAACCAGGACACATTGGGCATAATTATGCCTACTTGGAAGAACCTCAATACTCATCAGGCCTTGCCAATGGTTTCCTTGATTTTGGGCACGCTGCTCATACACAAGCTGTATAACCCACGCATGCGTACAACTGGTGTATTGGATATTGAACGCTGCATGTCCCGAGCTGATCCTTCTTCCCTACACCCCGCCAGGTTCCTCAATCCGCAAAGCTTATTGCTGCTTTCGGCTACGAGTTGTGTATAGGGAGGCCCTTTCAGTTTCCGGGAATATTTAGGGGTCATACGCCATCAAAAACAGTTACTGCAATTCGGGTTTTGCTTACCATAGCTAGAGCATCCTCATCAGAAGCCAGAAGCATTCCTTCGGGTCTAACTCAGACAATTATAGTTGTGGGCACTATGAATAGGTACCCCAGTGCTTTTCCGCCAAGGCTTTCTTCTGATGGATCTTTCGCATCTTACCTTGGCTGAGGCCACTATAATAAATGGCTATAACCCAGGCGAAGGATTTGCGCTCCAGGGGCAAGGTTCAAGGGTCGAGGGCTTGTGGGCCTTCTTTCGGGGTCTGCGGGTCTTGGAAGCTGGCAATGCCGCCGGCGAAGCGGCCAGCTTGCGGGCGAGATGAGGATGATGATGGGGATGAGGATGATGCTAGGCAGCGAGCTAGCAGAGTCGGATTCAAGGACTCTGGACGTTTGTGTGAGGCTTTGTCCCCTTTCGTAAACCAACGGATATTTACCAACTATCCTCCTGACCGCGACATAAAGTCCATGGACAAAAAGAAGCTTACGTCAACGTGGGTTGGCTGAAATGCAGCAAGTTCTTCCCACTTACTTTGATTGCGCTAAAGGGTATTCAGAGCTTAGCATAAGGTCTCTAGACATAGGTCCCTACATCCCACAATGACTTCCTCGCTAAGGTTGTTCAAGAACCTGTTCACCAGTACGAAAGCCCTTCATCCAAATTGGAATTTCCCTGACCGCGTTATCAAGAAAGCGCTCCTGTTGATGTTTAATGATGACGAGGACTCAACCGGCAATCTTTTTGGGGTGGTGCTTTAGTCACTACTACTACTACTACTACT